AAACAGCCAAGCTCAGAGAACCCCAAGGACTCCACAGTCCACCCTGAGCTACACATATTCGCTTCTATTGGTACTGTACAAATTACTGGCCTAGTATTGCTGTGTTCTCCTCAAAAATATAAAATATCTCACAGTACCCTTGTGAATTCACCGTTTCTGTTAAGGTCATGGTTCCCAAACTCTGTGCCATGGCACAGGATGCCATGAAAGAATTACAGAGACACTAAAGACACTATGAAGCAAGAAAGTTTGAGAACCTCCGAGCTAACATATGTCAGATGCATAAAGACAGACTTCAAGTAACTCTCCCTTTCCACTGCAGTTCTCTGTACCTTTTTTCATATCTTTCAGAGAATCTTCCCATCTTCTACAAGATTTTTTGGAGTGTACAGTAAGAATCCCCTTACCCTTCCATGAATTTTCTTTCACAAAACTCAGGATCCAAGCCTTTACTAATAAGCTTTTAGTTGCATAGTTTAAAAAACAATTAGCCAAGTGAAGCTTTTATCATTTTTAAACTTACGTGTGGACACCATCTGATTTTCTCTGTTCAAAAACTATGGTTTCATGTTTTGGTGATACCAGGTGAAAATCCACATCTAAACCTGCTCCATCTAGAACCTGAGAACGCAACAAAGATCAAATAGAAATTACACCTGAGCTCATCAAATTAAGAAACTGAATGGCAGATTGAGTAGTTTTTAAACCTGCTTTAAAAAAGACAAAGTGATATGACTCTGTAAACTGGACATGGAAGCTATTGGGGATACCTAATTTATATAATAAGGGAGAACTGCAGATGTAGTTGGCAATAGTATATCAAAATATTTAATAGATAAACTTGGGCTAAGATTTTTGTAAAAGCAACAACATTTTTTACTCTAGCACTTACTCGTTATCCGTGTTATGAACAACAGTAGCAGCATTCATTGCTTCATCTTTACAAAAATAACTTATCTGTACACAGAGATGCTCATTCCACGGTTGGCAACTATGCCACCTATGGCATTTAGCACAACCTTTTTTCAGTGTTATTATAACCTCTCCTTCCCCCCCACAAGATAAGAATGAAAAGCAAATTTAAAAGAATATTAATATAGTAGAAGTTAACTTCTTAGTAACCTCGGACAGAATTAGTCTACAAATTCATTTGCTTTGTCATTAATAAATCATGCTTCATGAAATACAGAATAGAGTAACAACATACATAAACAATAAGCATGACAGGTGGTTCCATGCCACTGGAGTAGAAACATTGCTCATTTCCAACGCGGTTCAATACTCATTTAAACTATCTGTTCATCTCAGTTCATCTTAGGCTTATGTGGCTCTCACAATCTAAGTACATTCCAGAATTTTGTTATGTAGACTTGTCAGTTTGAACATCTAAAAACCAGCTTGATCAAGCTTTGTTCATTGATATTTCGCCAGTCTGTTTGCTCTGTAAAACAAACATGAACTGCCACATTCCCTCAAGCTAGAGTAGCCATCCCATGTACATGTAGGACTCAAATTCCCACTATTCCCAGCAAGCATGGCCAAGAAATGATGGGATCTGTAACCATCTGGAATGTACCAAGTTGGGGAAGGCTAGAGGGCCAGTGATGTGGATTCTTGATTCTTTAAAGTTTTGGTATTGAGAATAATGAAGGCAAATGGGTTCCAAGTATTTGATTTGCTACTTCTATATTAAAGCCAAAACAAAACAGAGAAGCTGGCAAAATGAGTATCTTCACATAATCCTATTTGTCTCTGCAGTATTAGTGCAAGGTTCTTGCCTTGCCAATCCCCAGTGTGAATCTGGGCACAGTGACCAGTATTGTATGTCATTGCTCTCTACAGCCGAAAATGAAAGTGTGCAGTAAAAATTGGAAACCACACATCTGAACCTTTTCCTGGACAGTGTCTTTGCTGGTGCATTCTTCCTCTTTGGTGGGAATATTTTCCTTTGCGGGTTGAGTCAAAAGTTTTCTCTCTTGGCTTCCTGGATGTGCCCACTGGCTCTTGGAACTCGGGCACTGAACTTGACACTGGGCACTGGGGCGCCTATGAACACACGAGCTGCCCCCTCTTGCTGTCACGATTCCAAAGACTTCAGAAAGGCGACGATTCCCGATCTTCCACCTCCCTCCTCACCTGGTACTCGATCTCCAGCATGGCCTCCTTCTTCATAGTCTGGAAGAAGCACTCCTTCCGGCCGGCGGGTAGCGTGAAGGTGAAGTCGCTGTCTAGAGAAGGAACAAACCCCAAAGCTCTAGGCGGTGGTGGAGGCAGCAGCATCAGCAACGAGACGAAGACGAACAAACGCTGCCCAGTCGCCGTCCCCATCCTCGCCGCGTTCTCAACGCTGAGCAAGCGGGAAAGTCTGGAAATCGCGAGCCGTGCAACCACAACGCACGCGCCACCGCAAACGCTCGCTGGTCTCACGCGCTGGGATGTACGGGGTGGAGCGATGTACGGGCTGACGCTGGGGGGCGGGGGAGAAAGGATACCCACAATGCACAGCTCGTGGAGGCGGGTTGTGTTAAGAAAGAGACAGCCTTTTTAAAATGTGGGTCGACCTCTAAGGGTGAAAGGAGGTGCTTTAAGGGGTCTGAGTTTGCAAGGCACTGTGGGAAATGTAGTCAGCCGCGCGTTCAAATAAGAGCGGGGAGCAGAAAGAATGAACCCCACAGAACTACCATTCCCAAGGGTACAAGGAGGGGATATAGCGAACCAGTAGAGGACGACCGCTTCCTTTTAAGCGTCTTCTCTACTGTTCACGGAGTTTTTCTGCGTCCCGCGCGGTGAAAGCTAGTTGTTCCGAGGACCGCGATTTGAAACGCGAAAGCAAAGTGCTACGCTGACTACTTATAAAACATAGAGGGAGGGGGTAAGAGGGATTTTCATGGGATCGCCAATTCTAGCCTATCTAGGAGGGTTGCTGTTGTAACGTTATTCCCAACTGTCCGTCTGAGGGCGTTTGGGGCTCTTTTATATTTGGATCACTGTGGTGCGGCGCTCTCTGAGTTCACTGGGGACACAAAGAGCGCCCACTGTATAGAAGTGGGGGGAGGAGGAAAGCAGCATTGCTAAGCAACGGGAAGCTCTGGCCTGGAACCCGCGTCGCCGAGGCGGTTCAGGAGCTGCGGGAGAAAAGGTGGCGGTGGCCCTCAGGGGGAGCGTTTTGCGGACTCAGAGCACTGAGAGAAAATATGAAATCACATAGAGGTGAGGGACAAATATTAAGAGTCTCAACTGGTTGGTCGTGGCGGAGAACGAACTGAGTTTCAGGCGACGGAGAAGCGCTTCTGTGGAAAAGGCGCCATTCTGATATGATAGGAAGAATCGTTGGATCTGGCTCAGACTGTAATTGTGTACATTGAGCTAGAGCAGTGTTTCTTAAACTTTTTGCTCTCAGGACCTCACTTTGCTCTCACTTAAAAAAATTTTGGAGGACCCCAAAAGAGCTTTTGTTTGTATGGGTTATATTTATTAATGTTTACCATATTAAAAATTAAAATGGATGCACTCATAGAATATTTATTTATTGAATCATGTAAAAGTAATATTAAACCCATTAGATATTAACATAAATAAAACATTTTCTATGAAAAAAATCTATTTTTTAACAAAATAGTGAGAAGAGTGTCATTGTTTTAAATTTTTGCAAATATCTTCAATATGCGGCAAATAATTTGATTTCAGTGACCCGTGAGAGGGACTTGAGGGACTCTCAGGGATACTAGGGCCACACTTTAAGAAACACTGAGCTAGAGGAATTAGTGACAGCTTCAGGCTTTCTTATCTTTGGATGATATGATTGAACTCATTTTTGTCATTTGTTTTTTATAAAGCCCTAATTCTTTGTCTGCCAGAGCATCCTGGGCCTGGGCTCACCAAGTCAGTTAAAAACCACATCGCATGTTAAACTTGATTGATTCTAGTCTTAAAAAAAAACTTCATTGTTTAATATTTCATATGAACCTAGACTGTTGGTTAGGATTGGCTGTCTTGTGCAAATTCAGAAAATGGCTTAATTTAGTATAAGTTGTAAAAAATAAAGTTAAATAATGTTAACATTCACATCAGCTCAATGTATAAGAGGGTGACATCAAAAGTGTAAATACAGATTAAAATGAGTGGTGTCTACCACTCAGAAAACCAGTTAAAACTAGTGTAACTCTAAAAAACTTTAAAAGAAAAAAATGATTTCAGTTACAAAAAAGCTGTTCAATAAACCAGGTAATAGATAATATACTGAAATAATACCTATGTTGTCTTCATAAATAAAGAGATCTTAAATCTGTAAGTATCAAACTATGAGCCTGATTCTTCTAGAGTGCTATTTCATCCAGGCTGAAATTCTGTTCTAGTTTAGTGGTCTAATCAGGAACATCTTGTCTGGATTAAATCACAATTTAGCTTTCATCCAATTCATCACTGCCACTAGACACAGATTTAGTATATCAGCACCTTTCCTGGTAACAGATGGAAAAGGAGAAATAGCAGTGTGCATTAACTTCTCATTAACAACCCCAAGTGCCTTGATGATTTTCCTAATAAAGTTCTAGAGTGAACCCTGAGGAACACCATACATCAGTATCTAAGGAATACTAATGTATTAATATGAAGGAGTACAACATTATAAGCAGCACTATGTTGAAATCAACCTCCATGGATTCAGATTAATACAGTATAGGCCCTGTGTTGGTTGGATTTCTATTATCCATAGTATGTGAATTATGCACCCTTTGTCTATGTAGGACACTTTTTCCTACTTGTTATATTCATAATTGTTTTGCTTTATGGGTATCATTACACAACTTACAGTTTCCTTGTAAATTAAAAATGACCATGAATTGAAGTTTGTTTCCAAACCAGTAATTGCCTGCCAGTTATTAATGTTAAGAATGGTAGTATGAAAATGGCTGAATGTATTTGTGTAGCTAGCGTTAACATCTCATTTCTATTAGCTCTTGCTTTCTTGTAATAATGAGGTTTAAAAAGCCATTTTTCAAACAGGGTAGGAGATTATATTACTATTCTCCTCTTAGTTATTTATTTCAGACAAATGAATATAAATGGAACCTAATTTATGGGCTTCCAGTGACCACCATGAAGATGTGGAAGATTTGCTTGCTAACATTGTAGCAATAAGAAGTCACCTAAAGAAAACAGAAAGAACTTTAGAAGACTTGGGAGAACAGCTTTATAGGTATAACTATGTAGAACTAAATTTTATTTGCTGATAAACTTGATTTACACTGTGTTTATATCCTAACTTTGAGATCTTCTGTAAGAAGAATTGGTGAAAAAAGAATAAAAGGAATGTGTTTATTTTGTTTTTGTTTTTCCAGTAATAATTCACATAATTCTGACCTCAGCGTTCATGACAGTGAGCTTGAAATTTTAACACTGGAAGATCTTGTGGATCCTTCTGAATTACAGAACAGTACTGTGAGCAAAATGTCTTGGCATAACAGTGATTCTCCAAGGAAACCTAGGAACAAAGTAATTATTCAGGAATTTGCTCGTTTCTAGCAGTATGCCTATATAACTTACGGATTTGTTTGTCCCAAATCCTGATATTGTTGGTCATAAAAATTAATGAACAGTATTTGTGTTGATAAATATTACAAGTGCTATTTTTTTTTTTTTTTTGGTAGTCACTAGCTTTTGATAAGAGCATGGAAGAGGAAAATGAACTACTAAGGGACAAATTGAATGTAGTCCGGGAAAATAATGCTTCATTAATTTCCCAGAACCACAAACTAATGAATGAAATTGAAACTATGAAGTTTGAACTGAACCAGACAAGAGCACAAGTAGGTATCTTAAAAAGTACATTTGTTTTAATACATGCTGTATTGTTAATTATATCCTATAATATTCTTCTCCTTTACCTTGATGTGAAATATATAAAGTTCTTAAGTTAGCAGCACTTATGAATACTTAGCTGCAGTTTTTAATATTCCCTTGGTTCAGATTTGGAGGAGTCAATCCTTAAAATGGCATGTATTTTTACTATATTGAAACCATTGCTCCATATTATATAAAGAAAAAGGCTACCTGGTTTTGCGACAGACTGTAAACTTGAGAGATACCTATATTTTTTTCACACATTACATTTTAAGCATCTGCAGAAATCTTAGGCCACCAAAAAATTTTAGTCATGAAGCAGTCCAAACTTGGCAACATTTTTACAGCTTTGTTTTACGCTATAATTGTCAAAGTATATCTTTAAGTGAAAAAAGGCATATGTCCTTGATAGATATTTTTATTTCTACTATGTTATCTACCAACTTAAAGGATTATACTATATGCAGATTAAACATATTGGGAATTAGTAAAGAAATAATCTATTTCTATTGGGAATTATTGGAATTATTAGTCTACTGGGAATTAGCAAAGAAATAGACTGAAAAAGGAAGTTTGTAATTGAATGAGTGTGCGAATGATCATGTTCAGAAAGCAATAATGGATTCTTCCTTTCCCCCTTATTGTTGCAGGTATCTTTCCTGGAATCTGCTTTGGGTACACATTCAGTCAATATTCCAATGTTAGAAGAACAGATAGCAAGCTTGGAAGCAGACATTCAAGCTCAGGATAGTCTTCTAAAGTAATAATTTTTTAAATTAATTTTTCTACTTTGCAAGGTTGGTTCACTCAGTAGTTTCCAGTGGGAGCTTGGTTCTCATTCCATGTTGAGATGAAAGTTTGAACACTGTATCAAATTGGGATTTCCTTTCTGAAAATAAGATATGAACTGATCCATACTCATATTGAAATCAACATTGTCTTGATTGAATTTCTAATTCCTGGATATGATTTCATTGATTTCAATAGAATTTACTTCCCTCCAGTAAAAATAGGATCATGTTAAGGATGCATATTCAGTGAGTCTCAGTTCAAGTATGATGGAAAGCTATGATCTATATTATTTGAAGCTGTCTTGCTTCAAACTTGCACATTCCCCAGTTCTTTGTCTTGTGCTAAACAAGGACATGAGCATCTATTTCTGATTCTGTATTATTTGCAGTTTCTGGAGATATCTGAAGACAGGCTACTAATTTATGGTTTAGGAACACATAACATCTTAAACCACAGTTTAATCATGACTTATTTTTAATAACTACAGTCTAAATATACATTGACAGTTTAAACATCAGTGAATTGATATGGACTGGAACTGGACACTTTCAGGAAGAAGATTATACTATTTACTACTCAGAACATGAAAAACCATGTAAGTCTTTAAAATAAAAGAAGGAAGAGTGTTGTTTTCACAATCAGGAGGATATACATATTGAAAGCTGGATTGGAAGAAAATGAACATGGTTTTTAAATTGGAGGAAAAACATCAGTAACCTGTGCTTTGCTGATGAGGCTTCTCTGATAGATTTGGAAGCTCTAGTAATAAGGAGCACAGTGAACAAAATGGGACTAATATTAAATATAAAAAATACCAAACTAATGATAACAGATTCAACAACAGCCTTAGACTTGACAATGAAGATGTTGAGATTGTGGATACTTCTGCCTTTTAGGATCAACAGTAAAGGAACAAGCAGTCAAGAAATAAGCCATAGACTTGCACTAGGTAAAGCAGCCATAAAAACATTGGAAAAGATATTCAAATGCCATGATGTTTATATACCTACAAAGATCAGAATTGCACAGGGACTTCCGGTGGAGGACAATATGGCGGAAGGTCCTTCCGGCTGAAGTTCCTCTGAAGCTGGAGTGTTAAACATGGTTAATTTGGTGTCTCAGGAATTTTTTCTGAGACACAAAGCATTCTCTGGGCAAGGGGAAGCCATCAAATCGCGCCATGTGTCTTCTGGACAGCTATAGTTTATCGAACGCACGTGGATCGCAAATGAACGGTGAGCGTTCGGCTGGGAAGCGGGCGGATCAGCTTGTCGATGTCGTGTTTAAAGCCTCTGAAAGAGACATTACCACCCCACCGCTAAAATCACTTTTGCTGTAAGTTATTTAAAGAATTTAAAGAGGCTATCTGTCAGAGTCTGCACACTCATTCCCAAAGTTCAGTAAATCCGCTGGAGACTAAATAGTTCCATTAAAGATTTCTTCATTAGGAGAAGTGCACAGCAGCATAGATTGTTGAGTCTAATTCTACAAGCAAAACTGTTCCCTTTTTAAGTCCCAAGTTTCCCCCTTGCTCCTTTCTTTTCCCGCTTGAAATTCTTCGTGCCTTGCTCCAGTTCTCACAATACTTGGCCTTGGAGATGCCTGTGTAGAGATAAAGATAACAGCACCTGACCTCCTCTCCCCCCTTCAATGGCAGGTTCAAGCAAGCGGCCTGCAACTAACATTCTTTCTATTAACTCTTTACTAGGCATAATAAAACTAAATTAAAAGCAATCAAAGGTTATAGCTTGCGTAGATCCTGACACTATCTCCACTACAGAAGTATTTTTTCTCTTGGTTGGACTTTATTTTTTGGGACTTTTAAAGTGCATTGTATTGTATTTGAAGAATTGAAATAAGAGCATGCAATCTGGAAGTTTTAATGTTTTCAAAGAAGTTTTCTACACTTT